TGGTTCTTTAATCCCCTCTGGTCCCATAAAAAATGAAACTATTCCTATTTTGACCACTATCAATAATAATCATTCAGAATTTCTTGTTTTTGATATTATAAAATCCCCTCTTTTTCCAATCATCTTAGGTATCAACTGGTTACAAACTCATAATCCCTTCATCCGTTGGGCTCTCACCTTTGACTCAGAGTATTGTAAGGACAATTGTCTCCCACAAATTCCTATATTTCAATTAAGTCAAGAAACTTTAATACCGGTACAATATTCAGATTTTTCTGATGTATTTAGTAAAAAAGAAGCTGAAACTCTTCCTCCCCATAGAATTTATGATTGTCCTATTGCTCTAATTCCTGGTGCTCCTATCCACTATGGTCACATATATCCACTTTCTGAAAAAGAATTGGAAATTCTTAAGTAATACCTCGATGAAAACCTTCATAAAGCATTCATACATCCTTCTACTTCGGTTCAATTTTCAAATAGTTTATAGACCTGGATCTCTTAACAAAAAAGCTGATGCTATTTCCATAATTCCATTTAATCCTTCTTCAGAAGAGAAAACCTTCTCAGTATTGCCAAACAATAAAATTATTGGACTTACAACTACTATATTAGATGAACTCAAACAATTATATCTCAGAACTTGAATTACCTTCCACTCCTAAATTGTTCAAAAAAAATTGAATCTTTTATTTCAAAAATAGGATTTATGTTCCTCCAAAACTACAGAACAAACTTCTAAAATTAATTCATGATTCTCCTCTTGCTGGACATCCAGGGATAAAAAAGACAATTGAACTCTCTACGAGACAATATTGGTGGCCTTGTCAAGATAAAACCATTGAAACTTATGTTTAATCATGTCCAGTTTGTCAAAGATCCAAAGCAGAACATCCTCTTCCTTACGGATTATTGATGGGATTACCAGTCCCTGTGAGACCTTGGCAATCTATTTCTATGGATTTTATGGTGGAACTCCCTCCTTCTCAGAAATATACCACTATACTCGTTGTTGTAGACCGTTTCACGAAAATGTCTAATTTTATTCCCTTAAAAAAGTTACCCTCATCCTCTGAACTTTCCAAAGTCTTCATAGACAATATAATCAAATTACATAGATTCCCTGAAGAAATAATCTCAGACAGAGGTTCCCAATTCACTTCATGATTCTGAAAGGAAATGTGTTCTTCACTTCGAATCCAACGTAAACTCTCTTCTGCATTCCATCCTCAAACCAATGGCCAAACCGAATGAGTCAATCAATGTCTGGAACAATACCTTTGTTGTTACTGCACGTATTTACAAGATGATTGGAGTAATTGGTTACCCATGGCTGAATTTGCCTATAATAATTCCATACATTCAAGCAGCAAAATGACTCCATTCTTTTCAAATTATGGATTCCATCCCTTCTTGTTTCCTGATGATTCCAAGGCAACTTCTAATCCGATGGTTTCCATTCAAAACATGGAAATGTCCTCATTGTTTAATCAATTAAAGAAAAACCTTAAAAGTTCTATGATCTTACATAAACGGAATTATAATATTAAAAGGAGAGCTCCTCCTAAATATAAAATTGGTGACACTTTTTGGCTCTCTTCAAAAAACATTTCTACAAGCCGTCCTTCAAAGAAACTGAGTCCTCTTTTCCTTGGACCTTTTCAAATTGAATCTATTATTAATGAAAATGCTGTGAAATTGAAACTTCCTCCTTCACTTAAACTTCATCCTGTTTTTCATGTTTCCCTTCTAAAACCTTTTTTCCCTGATCCCTTCCCTTCCATAGGGAACAATTGTCAAAGCCTGACCCCATTGAAGTACAAGGTGAAATGGAATATGAAATTGAAAAAATTCTTGACTCAAGATTTCATAGAGGTAACTTACAACATCTTATTAAATGGAAGGGTTATGGAGCTGAAGATAACACCTGGGAAAATTCTTCTGATGTTCATGCAATGAAGTTGATTTCTGCCTTTCATAAACCAAGGTGGTATCACCCGGAGTGTGCTCCTTAGGTGGGGGGTCCTGTCATGTGATATCTGTTCCGGGTTCGGCATTCCCGCTATGCGGAGCCAGCCCCGCCCCCTTCTGATGCGGCTCTCTGACACTACTTAGAGAGACCGCGCCAGAGAGAAAGCGGTTGGTGATTGTGGGACCTACTTCCGGGTATAGACGCCGGCTCCACAAGCTTCTCTCACAAGCCTTCCTAAACCTGATTACTGGAGAACGGACACTTTATCAATTTCTTCCTATTGAATTATTACCTATATGCTTTTCACTTAAGTTTATCACAATCATTAAAACTTTGTTTGATTCTCTTATTGCCAGCAATCCTCTCTTTTCTTAAAGCTACAGTATCGATAATTTAAAGATTCTCAGTTTCTTCACTATTGTAATTAAGGAGTTCTACAAGCTGCAGTTGAGTTCCAATTCTAAAAACCCTAGTAGCATAACAGAAACACACATACACACATATAGACACATACACAGATACAGATACAGATACACACACACACACACACACACTGATATACAGACACACACACTCATGTACAAACATACTCACATACCGACACACAAACATACATACATACTGACAAACAGACATACATACAAACTGACATACAGACATACATACACATAAATACATAATGGCATAAATACACATACATACTGATATACAGACATCCACACACACACACACATCCACACACACACACAGAGATAGATATATACATACACAGATACATACAGACATACTGACATACACACACAGACATACATGCATACTGACAGATATATACATACATACACACATACACACACAGACATACATACAGACAGACATATATACATACTGACAAACACACACACATACTGACAGACACACATACAGACATACATGCATACATACATACTGACATACACACACACATACAGATAGACACATACACACATGCATACAGACATACTGACATACCTACACTGACATACATGCATACTGACATACATACACACATACACAGATATACATACTGACATACACACACATACATATATACATACTGACATGCATACACATACATACAGACAAAATGACATACACACACTGACATACATGCATTCATACTGACATACACACACACACAGACATACATACTGACATACACACAGACATACATACACACAGACATACACACACATACATACATACTGACATACATACACACACACACACATACATACATACTGACATACACACATACATACATACACAGACATATATACACATACAGACATACACACAGACATACACACACACACAGACATGCATACTTGCAGACACATACACAGACATACATACTGACAAAGACATACATTCAGACATATAAACATACTGACATACACACACATAGAGATAGACGCATACACACATACATACAGACATACTGACTTACACACACTGACATGCATGCATACTGACATACATATACAGACATACATACTGACATACACACACAGACATATATACACACAGACATACACACATATACATACATACATACTGACATACATACACACACACACACACACACACAGACATACATACTGATATACACACATACATACATACACAGACATATATACACAGACATACACACAGACATACATACACACACAGACATGCATACTTGCAGACACATACACAGACATACATACTGACAAAGACATACATACAGACATATAAACATACTGACATACACACACATACAGATAGACGCATACACACATACATACAGACATACTGACTTACACACACTGACATGCATGCATACTGACATACATATACAGACATACATACTGACATACACACACAGACATATATACATACTGACATACATACACACATACATACAGACATATTGACATACGCACACTGACATACATGCATACTGACATACATACATACATACTGACATACACACACACACACATACATACTGACATACACACAGACATACATACACACAGACATTCATACTGACATACACACACAGACATCCATACTGACATACACAGAGACATACATACACAAACAGACATACATGCACACAGACATACATACACACACAGACATACATACTGACATACACACAGACATACATACACACAGACATACACACAGACATACATACTGACATACACACAGACATACATACACACACAGACATATATACATACTGACATACATACACACATACATACAGACATATTGACATACACACACTGACATACATGCATACTGACATACATACATACATACTGACATACACCCACACACACAGACATACATACTTGTAGCGGAGAGGTAGTATAATCCACAGTATCTCTGCTGGGTAACAGGAACAGCATAAAATAATCCAAGGAAATAAATACAGCATACAATAATCCCTGTAGCGTTGTAAGAATCCTTCCCTCCCAAGAACTAGACGACACATAGGCTGGGAGTCAACTGAGGTTTTATTCACAAGTCACAGTATTTATGCAAGTCCCCATGCAAGGGGTTTCCTTACTGACATTCCAGGGGTTGTACAGTAGGGGACTGCATGGGGGACTTAGCAACCTGGAGATTTCTCCCATCATGCACTGCTGGACGAGAGATACTCCCACTGGAATATACAGTTAAGTGGATTATCCCTCCGTGCAGCAGAACTTACATTTCACATTAAAATCCATAACTTTTACATTATTCCCTATATTTA